AAGTGTTTGCTTGGCCTCCAAATTGTTTGCCTACAACACCAAGAACTTAACAAGTTAAGGAGCGGTTTTGAAGGATTTGGTGCTCTTTTGTTGTGTTTCTGTAGACATCTACTCATCCACCGCGCACAAAAACCAAATGCCAAATCCTGAACAACAGCGCCTTCACTTAAGAACCAAACGCCAAACCGACGCCATCACTCAAAAAACAGACTCCGCGCCAAAACCGCACTCAAAAAACGACGGCAACACGATGCCAAACGACGCCGAAATGGGCGTCTTTGGGTTTGTAATGACATTGGGCCTCATGTCTTGTTAGATATTGACGGTGCGGGACGTAAGTTGTCTTCACTTTTTGGTCGGGGGCGTTGATGTATCCTTTAATGTATCCTCTTGTCTAGTTATGTTTGGTAATTAGCATTTGGTGGATGATTTTCTGTTTCAACTTCAAAGAAGCTTGCCAAGGAAATGTATGCTGTAGTCTCTAATTAGGCCATGACAGAACTTCAAAGCCGTATGGGGAGTTGTGCTTCCCTTGATGAGGGTTTGCTATCAAGAGGAACAATATTGAGCTGGCCGCGCATACTCAGGAGGTTTGAAGCCCCTGTTGAAGGTCCCCTGTTGGAAAAGAACGCTTTGCACTTCCAGTTAAGACTAATCCTTTAGTGCTTAGATGCATGGTTTGAGGCTGTTTCTACCTTGGCGAGATGCACGCACGTAGGCCCTGAACTGGCTTCTTGAGTGAATCCCATAGACTTACTCCACGTGAAAAGAACGTCTCTCGAGGGTACAGGTATCTAATATTATATAGGTTTCTTAAAGTGTTTTTCCCAAAAGCATCTCCGATGCTTGGGTTCTCGTTTAGTCGCTAGTGCCGCGGAAGAGCGAGACAAAGCATGCGTTGTCGGGGACGGAAGATGGATGTGGAGGTGGACGGGGTTGGGAAGGGAAGAGGGAGGGGAAGGAAGGGAGGGGAGCGAGACGGGAGGCGCATGGGTGGGGACGGGGCTGGGGA